AGACTCCGGTACATGATCGTGGTGTGCACGCCTGATGATGATGATGATGAAGGTGGTGATGGAGGAGGAGGAGGAGGAGGAGGAGGAGTATGCGTGGTTGCAATGCAACGTATGGTTCGCAGCATTTGCAGCAGCATTTGCAGCAGCAGTGTGGTACAATCCCCAGGTTTTCCCTGCGCCAAAAGTTGTGATCAGCAGCGTCCTCTCACTCACACACATCATTGCGAAACAATGGACCGTTCCGGGGCACTCGAGGCGCATAGCCATGCAGGCAAAAAACAAATACGAATTGACAATGAAAATATGCCATGAAAACCTGGTTTTGCTCGCGATGCACACCCACGCCTATCGCGTAATCTGTCACTTGTCAGATCATCGGTACCATGTTCTATCGTCGCCGCCGTCGTCGTCGTGCATCTGCGGTCGCCCATCTTCATGTGGACACATACGGGCGGAGCGATGGTGAACTTGCCGGAGTGAGCAATCCGGCGCGCCTGGCGGATCGGAGCTGGATGCGGTATCATATTGTCATTATCGCAATAATAAAACATTTCCTCCTGCTCACGGTCGCTGAACCGGCGCGCGCGCGCACGCACACACACACGGAATGATGATGCACCCCGATCCGACCCAAAAGAGGCATATGCCAGTATGTATGTGTGTGTGTGTGTGTGTGTGTCTCAGATTAAGCTCTCAACCTGTTGATGCATGTCTGTTTTCCCATACCACCAGGGCCTGGCTGTGTACAGTATTGATTGACTGACGGTCGCCGCCCGTTAGGAACGGCCATTTGGTCGGAAGGCGGAGCGCAAAGCGGTCGACCACTGTACTGTTCGATGGATATTCGTCCATCTGTGTTGGATCTCAGTCCTTCTTTGCTAGCGTGTGCTTTATGTCGACTCCGAAAGGAGATCCCATCGATCGAATACTGCGTGGATTATCTCCAGAGGGATCCCGGAGTGATCTCTGTGCATGATAACTCACGACATATATACCACACTCGCCCGTGTTATCAAAACCGGAGAGGCGCCAACGGACGTTCTCATGTCGCCGCTCTCCATCTATTCCGAGCAAGTCTAGTCGAGGTGTAGTCGCGGCTCGCATTGCCCGAGGGACGGCGGTAGCTCAATCCAGGTAGGCGGGAATATGCTCGGGTCCTCCGAAATGCAGGCGGCGACCTTCTCCAACACACATCTCTCCCCTGCTCTTACCAACACATCACCGTAGACCCTGCAGTCGCAGAAGCATAGCATAGAAATACGCATCCGACAGGAACTGCGAACAGGTCTCACCGCACGCCGCGAGCTACCCTCAAGCAGTTCGCATCACTCCTCGTCCCCAGCCCTTTCTCGGCCGCCGGCCAGAAGAACCCTGCAGCTGCGGGCGTGAAACAGCGTTGATGAGAACCTGCGTATTGGCGACAATTCGCAACGACGATGCATCACCGTTGCGACGGGCGTTGCGCGAAAAGTGGCAGCTTGCCCGCCAGCAGCAGCTCATATTGAGGGGAAAATAAGTTGGGTTCGCATAAAATTTCCACAACACCACCGCCGCAGGCATGGCTGCAAGTGAGAAGGTAACTCTTGATGGCCAGTCCTTCGTTGTATTCTGGTTGTTACGATAAAAGTGCCGCATCACATGCTTGCATATGTTGACTGAATTGGTCGGGAGCATCGCGGTCTCGGTATGTTCCTTTCATGCGCGGATGCGAGAACGCATGATCCTTTGCGCCGATAAGATCCCATCCACAAACCAATGTCAAGCCGTTCTTCACCACAAATCGATCCATCGACAGACACATAGAAGTTGCGCCATCGACAGCGTGAAGTCCCTTGTCTAGAAACTCCTGCATCACGGAAGAATGGACTTTGGACAGTTCAAGACATTTCCAATGTGGGTTTGCGGATCACCTTTGGCGTTGCAGATATACTTTGCACACCTCGGGGTCTGATACAATGCGCGCTGTTATCAAATCCCTGCAGGCGGCCTCCAGTCGGCTTCTCGTCTGTCTTGATCAAAATTCTTATTTCAGCTTTACCTTTCGCATGCTGCCCTCGTGCGATCCCTGCTTTTGAATCGTGAGGATCAGCAGCAGCAGCAGCAGCAGCAGCACAAGTCCCAGCACCAGCAGCAGCGCAACGGATCCGTCCACCTTGCTTGGCCCATCATATGTTCCTACGCACTCTCCCAACGACGCGACGGACTCCTGTGCTCTACCTCGATCAACACACACCCTCTCCGGGCCACCTTCCCACCGTGTCCTCGCAAGCAGGATGCTCTCCCATATGGCCTCTGTGTGGCAGCTCATCTGTCAACCTATGTTACAACAAGATCGTTGCCGGTCCCAGGGCGTCGGTGCGCAGCACGTGGACTGTGTGCTGCCGTCTTAGGTCTTCACTTGCTCGAGCCGGCACAGCTACGCTTCGTTAGCCTACAATGTAATCGCAGAACTCTATAAGCCTATCATACGAAGGTTCCACTAGATACGGCTTTAACTACGGGACGACAACTTGTCGGCCATAGAAACCTGTAGGGGACCATGTAGGGCTTTGCGACCTGTTCGCATAGATATGGCTATAGGCAGCTCATCGAGGGCGCAAGTCTGTTTGGCCCAAGTAACACTACAATATGTTGTCGACTCAAAGTCCATCGGGTTCGTGAGATGTTCTTGAACTGTGAGTCACTTTCACCGTTCGACGAGAGACATGGCGTAGGTACATGAAACGTGTTGATATGGCATGCTGAGCACACAACATTAAAGTAAACACTACATAGTTTGGAGCCGCGTCTACAAGTGATGTCGAGGCATCGCTATGGAAGAAATAATAAATCATTACGGTATTCGGGCCATCATGTTGGATATTAATAGAAGTACATATAGTACATTCCCGGGTCCTTTTTTGGCCCCCCAAATTTCACAACCATGAGCGGGGCTCCGACCCCAGATCTCCCAGATTGCTGGAACAGCGCAGATCCCAGGATCGCAAGCAACTTTTAACGTCGCGCTATCCGTGGAGCTGATACTGTACGTCTGCGCAGATAGTCACTTTCATACAAGATGGGGCGTTTGGCGAACATTTTCCAGGGCTATTGCTGCTTTCAAGTGTCCCTGATGTCATGCTCTAGGTTGTACGTGGCGATGTAGGCTTCATGCATGTCTTCATTCTTTGACCAAGATCTCACGTTGTACCGCTGTCCTTCGCGCCCCCACCTCAGAGGCCGCCGGGCCGCCCTCGAAGCTGCATGAAGGATGAGGCTATGGCGCAGATCATGGGAAGCCGCCATCCGTCGCCTCGCTGCTTTATGTTGCCACCGTCCTCTCAAGAAATTGATGTTGGTCAACCACGGTCTCAACATTCAACATGACATCCGCGTACCAACGAGTCGAAACACTCGAGGACTCACTTCGGACGTCCCAGGACGATCATCCGGCTCCGATTTCGTCGTCACCATCTTTACACGACTCGACAGATTTAGCGCAGGTGACTGAGCGTCATGAAGACGCGATCAAACAGCCGATGATATCGGAGCAATCGGTCGCAGACTCTACAACCGGATCAATCGATCATGCCATATCGGCCGCAGAAACAAAGCCTACGGAGACTAGTCTAGCACAATGGCCGCGACGCTGGTGGACGCGGTTGCTCCGCACATGGTGGATTGAATCGCTATGTTGCTTGCTGGTTGTGGGCTCACTTATTGGTCTGATCGTCACATTGAAGATGCACGAGCGACGAACAATCCCAGAGTGGCCATACAAAATAACCATCAACTCAATCATCTCCCTGTTCATATTGGTTCTTAAGACCAGCGCCTTGGTAGTCCTATGTGAAGGTATAAGCCAGCTCAAATGGACGTGGTTCAACCGAACAAGGCCATTGAGCGATATCGCCGCGTACGATGATGCCTCACGTGGACCTTGGGGAGCGCTGGTACTCATGTGGACCTTGCGGCATCGCCACTTGTCGTCGTCTTTGGCTGCTTTCATCATGCTCGCTGCGTTGCTCCTGGACCCGATGGGACAACAGCTTGTCGAATATTATAGCTGTGATCAAGTGCTGCTCAACACGACCGCAACATTCCCACGCACGCAATTCTTGGGTGGGATCGAAACTTCGGATTATGTCTCGGACGCCACGGCGGCCATCAAAAGCGGCCTCTATGCCCAAAATCCAGTACCTATCGACTTTGATTGCCCTACTGGACAATGCTCGTTCCAACAAAGCTATGGTACTATCGGCTGGTGCAGCCATTGCGAGGATGTGTCTGAAAAGGTGGTGTTCAATACCGTGAAGGCGTCAAACAACAAGACTTCGTGGATAACAGCTACCTTGCCTTCAGGATCGTTCGGCCAAACAATGAATGACACAACCTCTATACAGCTGGCTGTAGTGACGAAGCGGGATCCTTCTCAAGCCGGGATGACCACAGACTTCATCTCCGTCACTTTTCCAGAGCGGCGTTTGAACAAGACCTCGCACGATTCCGATTGTCCTCCATACAATCAGACCACTGGCTCGTGGTGTTCGAACGGCTTTGGCGCTGCTACTTGCCAATCTTACATATGTGCGCGTGAGTTCAATGCCAGTGTGAGCGACGGTCATCTACAGGAGATTGAACTTTCGAGAACGACAATATGGACCAACATGAATTCCTTCTTCACGTACCAGGACTCATATCGTAATGCGATACGCCTCAGCTGCCTGACTTCCGAACAGCGTGGAAAACTCAAGTCCTACGGCTACGACATCACACCAGAGATGACGTGGGTCCCCTACAATGGTTCCGTGACCGATCCGACTGACCGGGATCAGTGGCCCATGGTGACTCGAGCAGTAGACCGGGACGGATTGACATACGTTTACTACGCAAGCAATCGCACGACCGTGGTCTTCGATTATCGAACAGACACGCGACATTCCTTCATCAAGGCAACAAATGAAGACACCATTGCGAGTATCGTGCCGCAAGAATGCATCTATGGGTTTGAGCCTGGGATGGCTGGTGATGTGCAGCGAACATCCTTGATGCCCAGTCTCGATGGCCAATATGGATGGCAAAGGCAAAACCTGGGATCATCATCCAATTCATCGCGTTACTTGGGAAAGCTGGGTCCGGTCTCCGAAGTGATGGCCAAGTTGTCTCGAAATAAAAATATTGAATTCGGGGACGTCGAGAAGGTGTATATGGACGCGACCAGTGCGCTTGATCGCTTCGCACGACAGGCTGGCAACGCAAAGTTCAGTGCTCCGGCGAATGGTACAATTTACAGCAAATCAACCTGTCTGAGATTAAACGAAGGCTGGTTTGCAGTGCCGGCGGCCTTCACAGCGCTCCTCCTGCTGTTCTTCCTCACACTGGTACTGGAGACCGTGCCGACCCAGCGAGCGTCCGCAGACCAGCAGCTGCACAACTTCAAGGCATCACCACTTGCTCTTTTGTTCCATGGATTTGATGACAACACGTTATCAGGTCTTGATCGCCAGAGCGCCTCTGATGACCGAAAAGAACTTGAGAAGCTTGCGAAGACCATGCGAGTCCGTCTTGTGCGATCACAAGATGGTTGGAAATTTAGCGAAGATGATACCGGTTCTGCTGATTCGGCATGAAAAAACGTACTCCCAAGCGAGCTAGGAACGCATGCGCCGTTTTTGATGATTTACGAGTGATGTAACATGCTTTTTTTTGGCAACCTTCCGCAAGAACGAAATAGCCCGCATATGACTCAAACGTGACTCGTTCAGCATCTGAAATTTGTCGATGTTCCCTCTAATCGTGCTCCGGTCACTTCGAGGGCTGACCCGCGTTCACTTCAGCCGGTTGCGAGAAGAGGACCAATGATCTGTTCCGCCAATCGATGGATTATCGATCATGGGGCACAGGTCTCTCCAGGTCTGACCGACGCAGTACGTCGGATCTAAATCTCGGCTGTTGAGAAGTCAACACCGTCGTATGACCTTCGATCATGTTTCTCATTCCCAGTGAACGGGCCTTCCTTCCTTCACCGAACACCCCGGACAGTAATGACTTTTTCTGCCTCGGGTGTCATGCTTTCGAGCCAGATCCATTCCTTTGCATCGACATAGTATAGGGACGGCTTGGCTCGTCTGAACCGAGATAAGCGGTCTGAAGAACGTGCCGATAGATAATCAGGCATTTATGCTTTGACGAGGTAAAAGCGATAGTAAGCATGGAGAGGTGGAGGAAAAAGCGGAGAAGGATCCGTCGGTATGTACAGCTTATCAGGTACAATGACGAAGGGTCAGGATTGTGACACTCACGGTACCTGTGTATTTTTCACCGCAACTGCCGTGCGTTGTGTGTTGGAGCAGTTGCTCTGTACTGGTCTTTTGGAAATCACGACTTTTTGAAGACGGTGAGATTGATGAGCATGCCCACGACTGACATTTACGCAACGTGCATTGAAAATCCTCTGAAATGATTCTGCTACCGAATCTGAATACCTTGTGAAGGGTCGTTGTGATAGAACGTTTAACGTCCCTCCCGGGGTCGCGAGCCACCCTGTGTAACGAGCCAGCGTTAAAGACTTTCATCAATAATATTCCGCCACGCATGTGTTCACCCATGATACCGCATCTGCACTGTAGAGCAGGATGCCAGCCTTCCACCACGGCTTTTCCGCCAGGATTAGCCTCGTTTTGCGAACGCTGTAATCGATTCCATTCTCGTGCGAAATCCAAGCGTCCCCGTTAATCGCGATATGTAGACGCGATCCTCATCGGTATGCAGATCTGAGTCTTTCAGCATACCGCTTGGCGTCTACTCTATCCCTGGCCTCGATCTCGTTCTATTCGGGGCTGTGTTGCACGATCCCGAACGCTGCCGCCGTCGACATTCATGATGTTGTTTTCAAATCTCTATTGCTGAGTCATGTCTGCCGTCGAGAACTCCCGTAAACTATGCTATGCGCTTCCGTACTTAGTCAAGCACACCTGTCCACACCGAGGGCTTGAAAACCACTGTGGTCTACAGCCGCATAAGGCGCCTGCCCTTCTTTTGCGGAGTCCATCCCGTTCACTCTCTATCGATTGCTAGCGTAGGAGCAAGCCGCAGACCACACGCGACTCGACAGCCAGATTCAAAGCTAGAGCTGTTGCTGGGGGAGAAGTCCTTTTATATTAAGCCTCGACGGCTCACCTACATTCAGAATCGTAATGTAACTTAGTCACAAATGCAAGAATTCATCTTCATCGACGCCATTTCTGCCAAAATGAAAGCCGCTTCCTGTTCTTCTTATTGACGTTGTGAGCACTGTCGGCGCTATGCGTGAGATCGAGCAGACGTGATTCCGTAGTAGCGTGTTGGGGTAAGTTCGAGTCTGACTCTTCAAGGCGCCTGCTCGCTTCAATTGCTTTGGCCAGGCTGTGCTCCGATCCAAGCCGGTCCGGATGACCCTCCGCGAGCGATGTCTTCCGGATCGCAACGACCTGCTCCAGCAGCTGGATCGCCTCCTTCGTCTGCCCGTTCGCTTGATACGCCCCGGCCAGCGCGTGCTGCGATGCAAGCCGTGACGGATGATCCTCCGCGAGCGATGTCTTCTCGATCGCAACGACCTGCTCCAGCAGCTGGATCGCCTCCTTCGTCTGCCCGTTCGCTTGATACGCCCCGGC